GTGACCGGGCGCGGGGTGCGCGGGGCTGTGGAGGGGGTGCCCCGTCCCGCAGACCCCAGGCTGCAGCCGGCAGCAGGGTCCGGCTCGGAAAGGCCCGCGGGGAGCGGGGTGTCGGTGCAAACCTGCACCCTGACCTTGGGGTGCAAGCCTTGCGCGCTCCGCCGTGTAGGGGCCGCATAATTTTTCCTTGCGCTTGCCGCCCGGAGAAGATTAAGAGAGCCCAGAGGCGCGTCCCCGGCTCCACTTGCAAGGTGCAGCTTCAACTTTTGCCTCTAGACAGATGTTTGGCAGTGAAAACTTGAAGCAGATGGTTTTAGGCAGCGCATTGTGCAATGTACTGGGTTGGGCTTGGAGTGGTTTCTGGGACAGCCCCTACATCAGCAAGTGCCAGCGGTGGCGACAAGTGGCCAGAGCTGTTCTAGAAAGCACAGATCCTTCATTCTCTTTTCCCTCTCCCTGCTGGGATACTCGTGATGCCTAAAGGGTAAGCGCCTGCGGCACAGCAGGCCCAGCAGGGAATGAGGGTCAGGGAGCTGTGTCTGCATGGCTGGATCTGCACATGGAAGAGCTGCCAGGGAGCCCTTTAAGGTATTGATGATAATTGCATTTGGCCCAAGCATTGTTAGGTGTTGGATGCAGATGGAAATTCAGAGTCCTGAATCGCCAGCCCAGCTCCATGAGCCGTCTGCCTATCCCTGGAGCTCCCAGCACCTGGAGTTTCATGGTGACTCAGTGTCTGGAAAATCGCAGGGGCTGTGCCAGAGGGATGTGCTTAGGTTTCTGTTTCTTCGCCATATCGCATTGTAGCACTTGGGTGTTGGGGTGGGCTCAGGTTTCAGCAAGACTCAGCGTACAAAATGTTGAGTGCTCCCAAAATGATGAATCAGCTCTTTTAAGAAAGAATTTGTGGGGGCAAAACGGAGCACTGGGTCCTGCTGTGGGGCAGTTTGTCTTGGAGGATGGAGATGGGCAGGAGTGAGATCAGCACCCATGGGGGCACTGGGGAGAGACACTGTTGGAGTTATAGGGTGGCAGGTGAAGCACATCTTCTATCAGCAGGAATTGGGCTGGGCGACCAAAAGACAGAATCAAAGTCACCAAAATCTTTATGGCCATGTCTTCTATGGCACATGTGGCAAATGAAATAAGTTAATAGCAGGCTGATGCCTCACACCAGGGCCCAGCCTGCCCGCTGGACCAGCCCCGCTGGGCCATGTCCCACCCTGGTGCTGGCTCCTTCAGTGGGAACGATTTAATTATTGCAGTTGTCATCCTCATTTCTTTCTTTGGGCAGAGATTTATATCACCCCAGTGTGCTGGCATGTGGAACTACTTACATTTGGTGTTTTGCCGCCATTGGGCATGAGCTGGGTGGTTTTAGTGGATGCCTCTTCAAGAGCTGCTGGCCCCCCAGGTGCTGAGGAGCTGGCTGCTGGGCTCTGGGTTACCCATGGACAGTGGCCAAGGGGCCAGGCTGCCTTCTGCTCCCCCAGGGTCTGCTGAACATCTCCAAGATGGATATAGAGGTGTCCTCGAAGGGAGAGCACCGGAGCTTTCTTTCCTACGTGTCCAGTGCACTTTGATACAAGTGGACCAGGAGAGCTCACTTTGTTTTAAAGTCTCCAAAAATCTTTGTGGCTCAGACAAATTCAGGTGCTGTGATATGCCTCCAGGCAGGGGAAAGTGAGAGCCCTTGGTCATTGGTTAGTCATGAGCCTGCAGCACCACAAGTGGTGTGCAGGGTTAAAGTGAAAATCCAGCTTATTAAAACTTCATCTAGCTAATTAGCACAGGGTGAAGAACAAAGAAGGACAATGTTGTAAAGGGGGAATTGTCAGGGGCGTTAAATATTAAGTCATCTGCTGCCAGAATTGACTCCCAGTGGCATTTTTTATATTCATGGTCAGACACTGGATAAGGTGTCTAAATGGGTTTGGAGCATCTCTTGACAGTGGCAGATTTAAGGGACACAACTGGGGTGTAAAGTGATGATCCCTACAATATAGGTAAAAATATTTAAGGCTGGGCAGAGCTAATGCTGCAGATTCAAATCTCCTGTCTGCTCTTGTAGACGGAGCAAGGTGCTGGCAGCGTGTCTGCACTTGGCAGATGCACTCTGTATTCACGTGGCCCCCTCAGATTTGGGGTTTATCCTCTGGGTGCCCGGTGCTGTTTAATTGTGACTTACGAACCAGCCAGCAGCAGCAGGAATGCTTGTTTCTTTTTGCTCAAGGCAGCCTTGTTACTCTGCTGAATCATGACTCTGCTTAAAATCCAAGAGTTGGGGAAGAAAAACAAAACAAAACATAAACAAACCCTGGGTTGGTTTTTATTTTATTTTTTTGACTCTGGACAGCCTGCAAATGCAGGAGGGGACGGGCTTTCGCCAGCCCTTCCTGCTCGCCTGGCAGGGAGGTGAGATGCCAAATCCCGCGACTCCGGGAGCCGAGGCTTGGCAAAGCGCATGCCCTTCACGCCGCCGTGATGCCCGCGACAGCCGCCTCTTGGCCGGGCGCCGCTGGCTCAGCACACCGTGGCCGGAGGGTTGGCTGCTCACGCATCCGTCACGGTGCCTGAGAAAACACACCGGTGACACGCTGGGTCCCCTCCTCCTGCCCACGGACAGACGCCGCTCGGGGCACAGCCAGCTCATAGCCCCGAAACACCCCTGTGTGTTGGAGAGGAACAAGCTGTTGGGGTCGTGAAGATGTAGCAGTGCTTATTTTTCATGTGCTTAAAAAGCCATCTGTGGTGGAGCCAGGCGGCGGGCAGGGATCGCCGGGAGGTGGTGGACAGGTAAGTAGCGGCACCATGTCCCTGGCAGGATGAGCTACCTCCTGGCCAGGGCTGTCCATACCCGACAGCCAGGCATGGCGCGGAATTTGCTGCCTTGCCACAGAGGCAGCAGCCCCAGCAGCAAGCGTCTGCCACATTGCAGGAGAGGTGCAGAGACCCAGACCCACTGCAGCCTTTGCTGAGCCCCTCGGGCCAGGCAGCGTGTCAGTCCCTGCTGTGACCATGGTGGTGACAGTGAAGGCAGAGGTCTCCTGGGACGGAGGCACCGTGTACCCCCTGTCCCACTGAGGCAGAGTTGCTGCCCTGGCTCGGGAGCCAGGGGTCTCTGCCACCCCCGTTAACCCCAGGGTGGCTTGTGCACTGCTGGGATAAACCCAGGACCCCAGGGTGATCCAGTGCGGTGATGGGGGGTCCTTGCGGGTGGCTCTGCAGGGCTGGGGGAGGAATCGGCACCTCTGGTCCATGGGAGGCCAGGGTGTGCGGGGAGCAGCTCTGCACCCCGTGCCAGTGCTGCTGCCGGGTGCCCTTGCCTGTCCCACCCACTCCCATCAGCACCAAGTATCTGGAATGGTGACTTCACTCTTTGTGATTCCAGAAATCCCTACAGAGAACTCCAGTGCTGCTGCAGACTCCTCCAAGGGAAATTAAATCCCCAGGAAGGGTTTGCTTGGTCTTCATCTTAGGTTTGCAAAGTCTCTGTGGCAGGGCTGGTCCCCCACTGGGGATTGCAGAGGGAATCTTTTTGCTCCCCCACAGTTGTTTTGCAGAAAAGTAATTTCCCCCTTAATTTGCCATCCTAATTCCCTGCTCTTTTATGGGCTTGGAGATGCCTCCCTGTGAAATATGCGGTGTTTCCTTACCCCAACTCCTGCCAAGATGTTTGGGGAGGAGGCAGCAGCACTTTGCAATGGACAGGAGGGTTTCCTGGCATTCCTGTGGGAAATGAGGCCATGTCCCCCACACAACCCCCATTGTGGTTCAGACCTGACCCTGCCAGGGCAATAGGGACCAGTTAAATGTTATTGACCCTCTTTAAACGGATGTCCTAATTGCAAAGTTGCTGGGGTTAGTGGTGCTGTGGGTCTCGCAGCCCGTGGTTAGAGGCGATGTTGGTAAAAATAGAAGCAGTCAAAAAATGGATTTTTATTTTTACTCCATAAAGTGTGTCCTGCTCAGATGTTTTGCTTTCATCTCGAGTTGAGTCAAGGCAACTCGCTGTTTCCACAGGACAGGAAGAAAAAGCTTTGTTATGGGTCATCTGGGAAGCTCCAGCACAACAAACTGCAAGCATGCTGTTTGGCTTTGACACCCTGCCTTCATGTTTTCTTTTTTTTTTTTTTTTTTTTTTTAATAAAGGTCACCGCAATGTCATCTTGGAGCAAAATAACAACTTTGGATTCCAGAAAAAATATTGAAACAGGCTTTGCATGAGCAGGCACCTCTACAGGCTGCGGCTTGTGTGTGTGAGGTGGCAGGCGTCTCTGGGGTGCTTGGGAGACTTAACTCTAATCTGGGACAGAGCCAAATCACTGACTTGAGAATGTACATTTTGTTACCAGGGCAAAAAAAAATGGAAGAGCCAGACAGGCACAGCATGAGATCCTGTTTTCAGAGACCTCCCTGGCCCATTGGTGTGCTGGGCAATGGCCTGCAAACACCCTTCTCAGCGTTTTTATTGAAGTAGTACCTGAGTGGGTGACGTCCATCAGCCCAGGGCAGCCACAAGGGTTTGATCCTGGCCCAGCCAGAGCAACCAGAGCAGGATTAAATCCACTAGCTTGAATGCACAGCTTGCACATCCCTCTGAGGCAGATCAGTATCTAAGGCCACAAAAGGCTACAAAACCTTTCTTAAAAAATACTTTCTTTCTCTACTGGCAGCGGCAGTGATGGCTCATTCATGTATGTCATGAGCTCCAACCCATGGAGGGAAAAGAAAGAAACAGCCTAAAAATAGAGCAGCTTCGAAGTAGTTCATAAATAATAAACCGGCCTCCTGTAAGGGAGATGAAAATCCAGAAACTCCCTAAAGCCCTGGGAGCTGCTGTCAATTTTACATGGAGTGAGGAGGTGGCTTTTTTCTCACAGCAGCAGTATTGGCCATTTCTTGGGCTTAAAATCCTAAATGAGAGCTGGGAAGGAAAACACCATTTATATTCTCTTTTTTTCAGAAAACATAGAAACTTAAAAAAATTATTTTCCCAAATAATTGGCAAGTCCTGCTTGGTGGAGGCAGGCTGCATGTTATTTCCCCCTGCCCTTGATCTTTGCAGTCCCCAGATAAATTACACTAGAGACACAGGCATGCCTCTGGTAGTGACAGGTATTTGCATCTCCTTCTCAGGCATCCCAAAAATTCCCAGTGCTGGAAGGGAGGGAGCTCACTGGGGCTCAGTATATTGGTCTGTATTTCCAGAAGCATTCTGCCACTTGTGGCTTCACTCAGCTGTGATGGTTTTGAATGAGAGCCTTCTGCAAACATTCCTCCCTTCCATCCCCAGTACAATCCTGCACTGCTTCTGGTTCACCCTAAAGCCAAGGAGGGGTCGATAGAGGGGATGAAGGTTTATGCCAAATACATCTTCCCACCACCATCTCCTCCCTGCCTTTTATTACCTAATTTCTGCTGGGCTCAGCTGGCCTTGCATCACACATGGAGGTGGGTGAGTGAGGGCTCTGTTCCTCTCCTGGGGGGCAGGATCGGGCCCAGGGTGACAGCCGGGGTGGTTGGAGCTGCCCCCATCCCGTGCCAGAGCTCCCCGCAGCGGGTGAGGGCTCTGTGGGACTTGGCCACTGGACAAGTGGTTTAGCTAAACCTATCACCCATTCAGGCTAATCGCTTCCTAATGCCACTGTAATCCCATTTAAAGCAACTGGCAGCCTAGAAAGTTACCGGCTCCCATGGGAAGGTTAAAATGACAAAGCCGGCAGTGAAAAAGTTCCCCCAGCTGCAAGGTCTGGCCCTTGCAGACATGCTTGAAGATGAATCAAAAATGCTCCACGTTTTGTTGAGCCTGTGCACAGATGCTGCTCTGGCTTTACACCTGGGCCTCCCTGTACTGCCGCGGCAGGGTTTAGGTGGCTCAGGACCACTTTCTGCTTTACGTGTCCTGTTTTGGGGAGAAAAAGCTGTTTGAGATACAGAGGAAAATGTGCTCTGGCTTGTTGTGCCTGTGGCAGGGAGGGGCTTCCATGTTTCTTTCTGGATCTTTTTCTTCCTTTTTTTTAAAAAAAAAAAGAAACCCAGCCACTTTAGAGCGAATTGCTGCAACCGGTTTCATTTGTGATGAAAAAGAGGGATTTTTTTCCTCCAGTTTGCCCGGACCCCACAGGCTTACAGCCCCCAGGGCTTCAGGAGGAGGTGGTTTGCTGGTGCTAGGCAGGTACTGGCCAGCTGGTCTCTGACTCTGCAGCTCCCCTCCTACACCTGCTCCTCCTGCGGCTGGGTTTGTTTCTTGCTCCCCGTGTCCTTACTTTACTTTTCCCCTCTGGATCCCCGGCACTGTGCTTGGCCGAGCCCAGCCAGCCCGTGGCCAAGGAAAAGCCATTAGGCTCTTGGCAGAGCCTGCTTCCCTGGGGCCTCACAGGGGGGAGAGGGATGGAGCCGAAACGCAGCCCGGAGCCATGCCAGATGGAGGAGTAGCCCTTTGGAGGTCCTGCTCCACTCACTCCCAACAAAATTAGCTTTACTCCCAAATGGAGCTGTTACAGGGGTCTGCGTGCATGGCAGGAGCGAACTGCTCTCTTCCCGCTCGGGGCTGCTAGCGCACACATCCCCCAGCCATTGTTTGCTGAACAGTGCACCCGCACGGGCCCCCTCAAAACCACCAGTACCCCAACCCTGTTGGGCTGTCCGGGAGCTGCAGAGAAGCAGGCTTTTACCCACGTTTGCTGCAAAGCATCTCCTGGCTGGAGCAGCTGGGGACAGCAAGGGGACGATGCTGTGGATGAACTGAGTCAAATCTGTCAGGGAGCCAGTTTGATTAAAATTAGGAGTGGCTGACTGGAATTAATTACATGGTGTCTTTTATGGCTCTTAGTTAGCCCTGTCCCTTAAAGATAGTCAGTGGGCTGATCTAGCTCCTGCTCAGGCTAATCCTAACCCCTCCCAGTCTCCTCTCATGCCTCACTGAAAGTCTTCCCCACAAAATAATTAATTATGGCAATGGTTTGGTCATTATTGCCCTGGGGTCCTTCTCCACGTGGAGCTCAGGCTGTTCTCGCACATGTTGTCTGCCTGGGGTAATTGGAGATGGTGACTGGTACTCGGCGTACAGCACCTGGCACGTTGCAGCCTGGCGGGGGGGCGGGAGGAGCTATGGAAATTGAGACTGCAAATGGGTGACAAGCAGTCCCTTGATTCAGAGGTTCTTCTGAGACTATTTATATCACCTTCTTTTTCAGAGATGGGTGCTCTGGGACTTGGTGGAGGTCGGAACTCTCCTAACAGTCCATTTTCTTCTCCTGAGAGCTCCGGGCTTGCCACAAAGGGATCTTCTTTCCCATTCCTCTGCAAAAACCTCTAGAGAAAACAGAGCACCATGTACACCTTCCTGCCTGAGAACTTCACGCCAGTGAAGCAGAAGCCCTCCAAGGAGCTGAGGCCCATGCTCGGGGCCATCTTGCTGGGCCTCATCCTGTTCATTGCCGCGGTGGTGGCCTGGTGCTACTACACGGTGTCCCTGCGGAAGGCGGAGAGGCTCAAGACGGAGCTGATGGACCTGCGGGCGGACGGCTTCGTCATCAGGAACCAGCACGGGGAGGTGGTGTTCCGGCTGGCCTTCCGCTCGGGCAGCCTCGACCTGGAGTCGTGCTCCAAGGAGGGTGAGATTTTGAGCTGCACGCGGTCGGGCAGGGGGCCGCTCAACTTCTTCATCCAGACGGTGAAGCCCAAGGACACGGTGATGTGCTACCGCGTGCGCTGGGAGGAGCTGGCGGCCGGCCCGGCGGTGGAGCACACCATGTTCTGGGAGGACGCCCACTGGTACGGGGGCTCAGAGATGAGCACCCAGCACTGGCCCATCCGCCTGGCCGGCTACCAAGAGCCCGTGCCCTACGTGACAAGCGACGTCTACTCCTTCCGCGACAGCTTTGGTGGCATCCTGGAGCGCTACTGGCTCTCCTCCAAGGCGGCGGCCATCAAGATCAACGACTCCGTGCCCTTTCACCTGGGCTTCAATGCCACCGAGCGCACCCTCTTCTTCCAGGCCCGCTACAAGGACTCGCCCTACAAGCCGCCACCGGGGCAGCAGCCCTTCCCCGAGCTCAGCTACCGGGTCTGCGTGGGCTCCGACGTCACCTCCATCCACAAGTACATGGTGCGCAGGTACTTCAACAAGCCCTCCAAGATCCCTGCTGAGAATGCCTTCCGATACCCCATATGGTCCACCTGGGCCCTTTACAAGAACAACATTGACCAGGATAAACTCTTGCGATTTGCCGAAAAGATCAAGAAGTACCGTTTCAACTGCAGCCACATTGAAATTGATGACATGTACACACAAGCCTATGGGGACTTTGACTTTGACCCTGCCAAGTTCCCCAATGTGACAGAGATGTTTGCAAAATTGAGGGAAGATGGGTTTAAGGTCACCCTGTGGACTCACCCTTTCATAAACTACAATTCCTCCAATTTTGGGGTGGGAATCGAGCGTCAACTTTTCATCAAGGAGCCATCAGGGCGGCTTCCAGCCATGGTGGAGTGGTGGAACGGCATCGGGGCCATCCTGGACTTCACCAACCCAGCAGCCCGCGACTGGTTCCAGAGCCACCTGCGCCAGCTTCGACACAAGTACGGCATCTCGTCCTTCAAATTTGATGCGGGTGAGACCAGTTACCTACCCAAGCAGTTCAGCACCTTCCGCCCACTCTCAGACCCCAGCATCTGGTCGCGGCGCTACACAGAGATGGCCATCCCCTTCTACGAGCTGGCCGAGGTGCGGGTGGGCTACCAGTCACAGAACATCTCCTGCTTCTTCCGCATCATTGACCGTGACTCTGTCTGGGGCTATGAGCTCGGCCTCAAGTCCCTCATCCCCACAGTGCTCACCATCAGCATGCTGGGGTACCCCTTCATATCTGCTGACATGATTGGGGGGAATTTTTTCCCCAACAAGACAGATGGGGCAGTGGAGATCCCTGACCGGGAGCTGTACGTGCGGTGGCTGGAGCTGTCAGCCTTCATGCCCTCCATGCAGTTCTCCATCCCGCCCTGGCTCTATGACAAGGAGGTGGTGGAGATTGCGCAGAAGTTCACGGAGCTCCACGAGTCGCTGGTGGCCCCACTGCTGCTGGAGCTGGCTGGGGAGGTCACCGACACGGGAGACCCCATCATCCGTCCCATCTGGTGGATCTCGCCCCGCGACGAGGCCACTCACAGGATCGACTCCCAGTTCCTCATTGGGGACACCCTCATGGTGGCACCTGTCCTGGAGATGGGCAAGCAGGAGCGTGATGTCTACCTGCCAGCGGGCAAGTGGCGCAGCTACAAGGGGGAGTTGTTTGAGAAGACCCCGGTGCTGCTCACGGACTATCCCGTTGACCTCGATGAAGTTGCCTATTTCCTCTGGGTTTCCTAACAGGCTCCTCCATCAGCTTTGGGATAACCATGCCTTATCTAGGACTTTGTAACAAATAATAATTCTAATTGCACATTTTATTTTAGACTGGGGCTGAGGAAGGTACTTAAATAGACTTCACTCTCCTTGGGGATTTTTTTTTTTATTTGGAGGGGTCTTGATATTTTTTTTAATTTGGGGCAAGTGGGAGACTCCATTTGGGTTACTGTAGGCAGAATTTTTTCTGTGTAGGTCAGAAAGCAGTTGTCAATCTGTCTGCAGACACGTAATACACCCAGTACTGTTTCATTTCCCAAGGATTTCAAGAGGTGGAGATTGGTTAGTGTCAATAGGAGTGTTTCTGGTCTCGTGGGAAAACCTGGTGCTGGGCATGGGGGTATGTGATGTGGGAGGTTTGCTACAGCACAGCCTGCCATCAGTTTTATAATATGGCAAAAAATATTTAAAAGGACTTTTTTAAGAGCAGGAAACAAACTGAGGATATATATACATCACATTTTATTCCCTCTTTGGCCTAGTCTGGCCCTGGACTAACCATTGCCTCATGCTCCTGCTTTCCTGGGTACCAGGCAGGCCAGGTTACCCAAGTGATGAGCAGGTATTTTAACTCTATGGGCTGCATATCGCTTGCTAGGGCAGCAGTATCCCACCTCCTTGCCCATTTAACACCTGCTGCAAGCCTCTTGCCTGTGTCTTTTGCCTTGGGTGTCAACACTGCCTTTCCTCGAGCAGCACCATCCATACCAGCATGCCCCATTAGTCTTCTTAAAGCGGTTATGGCCTCGCTTTGTTACATGATTATCCTGCTGATAATAATCCTTCTGGTTTTTAACGACAGATGAGCTTTCAGGTTTGTTGCTAGCAGAAGGACTGCCTGGAGCAAAGCTGTTCTCAAAAAGTATGTGTGGCGCTTTCCCGGGAACAACCAGTTCCCGCGAGTGGCACGCGTCTTGGATTGACAGTGACGTTTGCTGCTAGCCGGCTTGCTGGTGGGTGGAAAACACCGGCTTTTGCACTGATGGGTCTGTGCCAGCGGGTGTTCTCACTGCACCCGCGGAAATGTTCTCATCTACCATGAAATTAGGCTAATACCCATCTCCATCTCAGGTCGCAGTTAGAGGTGATGATTTTGTTGAGAGTTTTTCTGAAGCAGCCCACCTCTCTCCCTGGGAGAAATAGGGGCAGTGTTTGTGGTGCTGGAAGTAGGGTTGCTGTCAGAGGCTTCTGGAGGGTACACAGGCAGCTGGGATGAAGCTTCAGAGATGTTTCTTTCCCAGCTTTCCCATTTTGGTTTTGTACAGGAAGATTTATTTACAGAGAGCTGTGGGCAATCTCCACTCCGAGACAGAGCAGCCTTCCTCCCCGGGGCAGGACATTCCCGGCTGTGCCCTGGTTGAGAGCATGTTTCTGCCCTTGAATTTTTAATGAGCTTCTGCAGAATTGAGCTGCACTGTCTGGAAAGGTTTGGGGCACCCTGCCCGGGGTACAGCCAGCCAAGGAGAGCTCAGCATCTGCAGGGTTTCCCATGGAATTGTGTCAGGACTGAGAGTGGGTCCAGCATGAGTCTGCCACCCAGGTAGGTGCTGTGTTTTGAGTAGGGTTGGATGCCAGTGAGGATCTTTCTCAAAGTCTGTCTCCTGCCACTGGGTTTTGCAGGAGATAGGAAAGGAGATGTACTTAACCTGAGGGTTGCGATGGGGTCCAGGGGTTAGAAATTTAGGTGTTTGGGGCAAAAGCTGAAGTGCTTTTATAGTTAGGAAGGAAGTGAGAACGTCCAGTTTGATGGACTTTTTGGAGCATCCCTTAAAGTCTGAATCTGCCCTATGTAATTTGATGTTTCGGCCTCAAAATGAGATTCAGGGGAGCCCTATAGCTCCCTGCCCAGCTAGACCACAAACGTGTCCCAAAGCCTGTTTCTTGTGGCTTTTAACTATGAACAACTCAGGTTTGTTCCCTGCCACCAGGGCAAATAGTGATTATGTTACAAGTTAGAGACACCCTCTGTCAAGGAGTTAATCCTGGAGCCCCAGCATCAGTCATCAGGACACTGGCAGGGTTTGGCCCTTGGACTGGAGGGTGGAGGTGAAGGTGACAAGCTCCTGGAGATGAGTCTGACCACAGCCTGCAAGGAGGACAGGGTGCAGAGAGGACTTCTCCAGCCTCAGAAATGCATAAAGGCTATGCTTTGAGGGTCTCCAGCTCTTCCCTTCCAACCTTTGCTTGTGAAATACTTGTCCTCCCTTGGCATGGGAGTCCCTGGGTGGAGGAGATGTTGCTATGTGACTCAGCTGCCAATGAAGAAGTGAGATCCTTGGCACAGGACTTCATGGGAAGGATCCTAGCATGACCAGGAGATGTCACATGTCTTCTCCCCCCCTGTCTCTGCTGTGCCACTCATCATATCCCTCACTAGTAAGGGATGAGGCTACATGAAGAGAAACACAGCATTCCTGTTAGTGTGTCTTTATGATTAAAATTATGGGAACAGCCGGCTGAGTGCCTTCAATCTCCTCACAGTGGTTTCAGGTGCTGTCAGGAAGGTCATGGTGGAAATTCTCCATTAGGCACACTTTCTTCCTTCCCCTCCCCTCAAAAGAAAGGATTTTATTATCAAAGTTTTAATTATCTTTTTATTTAACTATATGAATAAAGAGTACCCTTATTTTTCTAAATGCTGTAGTTAGAGCATAAATGGCTGTGGCTATTCAGTGCTCCAGCTGGGAGAATGTTAAAGCTGTTGGGAGGACAAAAGGGATGATGCTGAACAACGGGTCCATATGGGTGACTTTCTGTGAGTCCATAGCACCAAGCCTTCCCTGCATGTTGGGAAGAGGCTCATCAGTGCTGCCTCAAGCTATCTCACAGTCTTCTAGGTGCCCTTTCCATCCAACTTTTTACCAAAAATTCTATTTCTAACTCTATGCTGTAGTGCAGCAGGACTCAAGGATCTCTAGGACCTCACAGACCACAAGCACTCTGTGCACAGACACCTTGGTGTGTGACACATTAGTGTGTCACACTAGTGAGATTTCTCTGATTTACACCATGGGTCACTGGCCAATGCAGGGTTTAGTTCGACTCAGCCAAGGAAAAGTCCCAAAATTGGTTTGGGAGTTGGATTCAGCCTTTCCTACCACAGCCCACAGCAGAATGCAGCTGAAGAGCAGCAGGTCAGCGTGATGCCCATGTGATTGAATTTTGAAGCTTGCACTGTCATGTATCGGGTTTTCTGGATGTTTGTGTTTGCACACACCGTCCTATTGAACTGTAATGCTGGTGGGTTTGTTTTTAACCACTTTTCTAATTCTTAATTGTAATGAAGACAGAACTGTAACATGAATCACCTTGATTGATATAAAATTTTGGAAAACAAAAGGAAGTTTAACAATGTCCATCTCTACCAAGTACATGGGGCTGGTGGTTCAGGCAGATTTGAGGCTTTTTTTCACCCTAGACTTGACTGAAATCAGAGTTGAGATTGTTGATTTATTTAAAGCTTGCAGCCTGCAGCTTTGATGTATATTTTAAAGGGAGATGCTGACAGCCACCCCACTCTTGTATTTGCAGTGGTGGCAGGAGACAGGGATATGGAGATGACCCACCAGATCATGGATCACCCTGCCTTGGGTCCCAACAAAAAAGGGAATAGCTGTGCCTTAGGGCTGGCCTGGAGAAGATCATGTCCAGGTGAACCCCGATCTTGCGTCCGCCCCCAGGGGTGAGGGCTAGACCATCATGCCCCTATTTTCACTGACATTCATCCAAAAAAAGCCATCAACACCAACTGTGGTTTGGTCCACACTGCTCTCTAAGGACACGTGCTTCAGGATGGTTTGCCAGCACTGAAGGAGAGGAGCCTGCTCTTGGCTTCTCTTGGGCACTCAGAAAGTCCGTCAGGGCCCTGGCTGTCCTCACTGCCCCTGGGGATCCACTTTCCAGATGGCACTGATGGCCAGGATGGGGATGTAATAGAAGTTTGTGGCTATGGGAGTGCAAGAAATGAAGCATGTGAAACTCATTAGGAGCCTGCCTTGCCCCACGCTGCCTGCTTTGCCCCACATAATGTTTTTCCAACCCTTTCCATTGTTACTGTACAAACCACAGCCTGCCTTGTGCCACCCAAGCATCACTAGCACTGGCCAACACATGCAGCTTGGCTTGAGGAATGAGAGGGACTTTGATTTGCTCCTTTTGCAATAAAAGACATTTTCCCAATGCTTTTCCTTTGCCTTCTTCCTTGAGTGCAAGCAGCATCCATACACTTGGCTGAGGCCCACATGGCAGGGTGAAGCTGGCGCTGGCTGGAGGTTGGCAGATTGCAGCATTTGCAGTCTTGCAGCAAATCCTCAATAATCTAGGAGCCCTCCCAGGAGTTGATGGGTTTGGGTTTGAGTTTGCATCCTCCCAGGGAGAGCGTGTGAGGCTCACCCAGGACCTGGGGACGGTGAGTGCTGTCTACTCTGTGCTGGGTTCCAGCAAAGTGGCAGTGCTGTGTACAGCATGGGGAGAAGTGTTAATGGCAAAGTCCAAACCCCAGCGGGGCTACAGCAAAAGCCCAATTAACTTCAAACTGGATTTCAAAGAGGTGCCTATGGGTGATAGCAGAGCAGCGGCTCTGGCCCATGAGGTCCCTGCCAGGAGCATGTCCATCCCTGTCCAAAATCACAGCTTTTATTAAAAGTAAGAAAAAAATAATAGGCAGGCAAGCAGAGCCTAAGGCCGGGGAGAACCATGGTGAAAGGACAAGCTGACAGCAGCAGAGTCCCTTTGGACACGTGGCCAGGCTGGCAGCCTCAGGAAAAAAAACAATTTCCTCAATTGCATCTCATCTTGAGCCAGGCAGGAACTGCCAGCTTGCAGATCCCTCATGTCAGGAGAGCCATAAAGATGGTCTGGGCTGATGCAAAATCCCAGCGTCCTGGAGAGAAAAGCAGGGATTTTTATTTATTTTATTATTCTTGTGTGCCGGTAGGGCTGGGTGGTTTTTAGCTTCAGCAATCATCAAAGATTAAGGGAAATAAACTCCCCCTACAAAAAACAGGCAGCCTGGGGTGAATGATGGGCTAGGGGAGAGTCCTGTGTCACCAGCATCTACAGCAAACAACTCTTGCTTGGCACTGGGAGTGCAATAAACCAATCAGGACTGAAGCTTAGCAAGGCAAACAAGATGTCCTTCTGGCAGAGCACAGCCCTGGCATGGCAGGAGGGTGTGGAGAGGCAGCCATGGTGCCACCTGCTCACAGGATGCCTCTGGCATTGGTCCCTCATGACTCCCTGCAGCTCAGCTGGGCAGCAGGGAAAGGCACTGCGGGAAAAACTGGGAAGGGATGGGGGTTTGGGGGAGAGATTTTTGCAGCCAAACAGGTTCAGGCAGCTCACAATCATCCCGAGTTTGCAGAAAGTTTCCGCGGTGCTTTTTCTCCCCCACAGCCTGTGATGAAGGCGGACAGCAGAGCCATGCATGTGCATACAGAGCACACTGGTTACAGGGGCAGAGGTGCGCTATGAGGGGGCTGGAGCCTGGCTCTCCCACCTCTCCCCAGCACTGTGGGCATCAGCTTTCCAGAAAACTTGTTTCTTGCTGCAACAAACACCAGGGGAATTTTGCTGGGGGCCCCCTGGGACCCTCTGGTTCCTCCAAGCCCAGCTGCCAGGGATCCCTCAGGGATTCAAAGCAGCAACCGAGAGAGAAAGCTTTCACAAATGCCTTGTTGTCCCCGGGGAAGATACACTGGTGGAAACCTTCATCCTGCAGTGGGAGAAAGCCCATGGTAAAGACCCAGAGACGATCTGTTAACACTAAATACTGCCAGACTGAGCATTGCTTTCCTTTTCACGTCCCTAGATTAAAGCAGGGTTTTCCCTCTCCATCACCACACCAACGACAGCATTACTGAAGCTCGAACTGCTTTCAGGGGCATCTAGAACATGTTCTGAGTCATCTCACTCAGCACTGCTCTTGTGTCATGATCATGCAGCATCCCTGTGGCATAACAGACCCACTGATGAGTAACGGGGGTCTGAGCCATACTGGGGACTGCCTCACCTGAGCACCAAACCAGCTCTATCCATACCCTGTTTACCTTTATATGGATTAGCTCTGGGGCAAACCCCTGAAGAAAGGAGCTTTCTCTTACCTTGGGGCCGCAACAGATTTACCTCCCAGGTGCCTTTTAGCAATATGCTGGGATCAGCAAAGGAATAATTTTCTCACTTCGGTGCATTGGAGCCAAAGGTGCATTGCAGCCCAGAGACCCCAGGACTCTCCTAAACTGCTCGCTCATGTCACCTTTAAACTGCTCTTTGCCTGAAAACAGGGAAGGTTGGAGCAAGAGTGGAGAGCATTTCACAGCCGGCCTGCCCACCCCAAGCCTGCAGGTGCTGCTGCCTTCACCCAGGAGAAGTTACCTCCATGGGCAGAAGGATGTTGGCTCATGGACAAGGATTTCCATCAACACAGCTGGTGGCATGGGAGAACAATTTCCATGGGGAAACTGAGGCACTTGGGCTTGTTTGTTAATTGCCTGAACTCCCTCAGGAGGACGATGGCTGAGCCCTCTCCCAGGACCTGACAGATTGTATCCTTTGGCTCTAAATGTAGTCCCAAAACACACATGGATCCTATTAGATCCTAACCCATGCCTGACTCAGTGCTAGGTTTTAATCTTGTCTGCCATGAGGTTTCACCACATGCTCACAGGCTTGGCTGAATCCACAACACAGACATGAATCTCAATAACTTCTTCCACTAAAAGGGAGAAAACAGTTGCCACAGCGTTAGCAAGTGCTATAATTTCTTTCTCCTTACTCAGCTAGGTCAGGCCATGCATGGGAAATGCAAACTCCTCTTAATTCCCCATCAGCACCCATATGATGTGCAGGCTGAAAATTGGGTGCCTTCCTCTTCAGAATAATCACAGACTGATTTTTGGAAAAAAAAAAAAAAAAGTACTGCAATTTTGCCCTTCACTAAGTAAATTAAATCATAAATATCTCAAGGGATCATCTATGAAACTGGGTAACAAAGGAGTCCATATTATTTCCTTTATAAACAAGAAGCGTGAATGGCATTTCTTGCTAGAAGAAGATTATGAGCAGGGACTGTTTCTATACATTGTATTTGTCATGCCACAATAACAAAGACAAACATTCAATATATTTTAAGAAGTAAATTATTCTACAGCATTGCCACACAAAACAGAGGTCACAGTGTTTCCTTCAAATTTCATACTGAAGTATTTCTACTTTAAAAACTATTAAAATTCCCAGGTCATTAAAGTCATTGATTCATTAATCCCAGAGATCACTGCACAGCAGATGGAGGAGCCTGTTAGGAAACCCAGAGGAAATAGGCAACTTCATCGAGGTCAACGGGATAGTCCGTGAGCAGCACCGGGGTCTTCTCAAACAACTCCCCCTTGTAGCTGCGCCACTTGCCCGCTGGCAGGTAGACATCACGCTCCTGCTTGCCCATCTCCAGGACAGGTGCCACCATGAGGGTGTCCCCAATGAGGAACTGGGAGTCGATCCTGTGAGTGGCCTCGTCGCGGGGCGAGATCCACCAGATGGGACGGATGATGGGGTCTCCCGTGTCGGTGACCTCCCCAGCCAGCTCCAGCAGCAGTGGGGCCACCAGCGACTCGTGGAGCTCCGTGAACTTCTGCGCAATCTCCACCACCTCCTTGTCATAGAGCCAGGGCGGGATGGAGAACTGCATGGAGGGCATGAAGGCTGACAGCTCCAGCCACCGCACGTACAGCTCCCGGTCAGGGATCTCCACTGCCCCATCTGTCTTGTTGGGGAGGAAGTTTCCTCCAATCATGTCTGGAAGTACAAATGGGTACCCCAGCATGCTGATGGTGAGCACTGTGGGGATGAGGGACTTGAGGCCGAGCTCATAGCCCCAGACAGAGTCACGGTCAATGATGCGGAAGAAGCAGGAGATGTTCTGTGACTGGTAGCCCACCCGCACCTCGGCCAGCTCGTAGAAGGGGATGGCCATCTCTGTGTAGCGCCG